TGAACATTTGCGTAATAGCTCCATAAATTGAAAGGATTATTTCCGGTTTCGTCTGATATTACCTATTGTCTTGTCGTTTGTTACAACATAATTTCTTTATTCACTACGATCTATTGAGTTCATTATACGGTTATTAAACACTTGAAGATATTGAAAAGTATCTAATAAGTACTTACAAAAGTGGCATTTTAGGATTAGTTAGAATGGGATATTCTAGTACATTCTGAGCTTCTGCGACCAAAAACGGTGTAACAGCTGCATTAGCCGAAGCAAGAACGAGCACTACTTATTCTAACGGGAGTCCTGACAGGACGATCTCGGCTAAAAGGACATCGCAAGAAACCAGTTAATGAACTTGAACGGAAATTCTCAAGCGAGAACAAGCAAATCTTGAAACAATCTCCTAGAACACTGAAGAAGGTGATTTATTGTGTAAAATAATTTAAAATAGCCATTTTGAAATAATCTGGATTATACGGAGATCAATTTAATTAAACGAACTAAATAGATTTTTCATTAAATGCTACAATTAGCAAATAAAGAATCCAATGTTATCTTTTACATTTTTACAATGAAAATTTTTGCATTGGAGTAGTAGTTGAAAGGCAAAGCGACTTTTAATAGTTTCTCATTTGCAGCCAAAATCGCCTCCACAATAAATAACTTTCACAATATCTTTTGTTCCGTTTGCTTTGTTTTGCAGAACAAGCGTAAAACTTTCAACGGTCCAAATAAAAGAAAAATTCATTATATTTAGGTTTTATTTATGCTGTAAGGATTTGCAACAACTACACATTGCTGAGTTTCTCCTCTTTTATTTATCTCTCGAAACAGCGACTATTTTATTTCGTAACAGGTTTTTATGTTGAAGGAGAATGAAATATGCGACAATTCGGGACCTTTTTCGACTTAATGAAAAAGTATCCGGATACGTATTAGGTGTATTGTAGGAAAAAGCGACCGGCAATAATTCACACTTGATGTGATAATGAAGTTATTAAATTCAGGCGAGAATTTAAAAAATATATATATTCACTCTGTAAAGTCAGGGGTAAAATAAAATTTCACTTTACTCGACATTAATTCATGTCGAGTTTAAATCTACCTAACTTTCCGATGAAGTAATGTCTTCATTTCCGCTAATTTTTTTCTGGATGAGTATTAAAAAATCAATTTAATCCATTTAATTCATGAAAGTGGAAAGTTATTATAAGTACTTCTAGTTTTAAATATTTTACATGAATACATGCAAATGAAATAATCTCCTACCAACTTTTAGTCATTATGTATGTATATCAGTATGGATGCTATTAGTTAATTACGTACTTTAACTTTTTTTTTTAATTTATGTTACTGTACTCTGTTAAAGCCGTTCTAATTCTTTTATTTTCAGCAAAAATTAATCACTGCAACAAAAAGTTCTGAATGCAATTAGCAAGCCAGATGTGCGACTTAGTAATGAAAATTATAAATTTCTGTAAAGTTGAGCAAAATTGTTATTTTTTGTGTTATACACATTAGTAACATTACATTCAAAACTAAAGTTATTACCACTAATTTATGGAACCCTACACTTATAGGGTATTACAAAGCACCAGAAAATCATATGCAGATGAAATTTGCCTCAAACGGGAATTTAATTCAATTAAGAAGGACTCGGTGATGATATTTACAAATATATACAATTTAGGTTTCGAATGAATTAATATATTTGAAAATAGGAGTTGATGGATTCTAGGAAATGCCTGTATGCAGTGACAAAAAAATTCTTTGTTCATTATTTTTGTCTATTGCAAAATTCGCAGAGCACTACTGTCATGAATTGATCCAATCAGCTGCTACAACCAAACTGACTGAGAAATCTCTCAAATTTTTTTGCATGCTACTTAAGAACAGTGTTACCTACATACAGAAACTTGTAATAGTTGGAAGCATTTTGGGCAAATTCGCTTTCAGAATTTGAGTAATTGCACGTATTTGGGACCCCACTGTGGCGTATATTCATTTATCAGAAACCGCGAATTGTAGTTTCGCATATCGATTTTAATTTGACTGACCGAATTCAATTAGGCATAATGGAACATGTAATTTTCCCATTTAATTTATTATACATATACAAGGTGTCCCAATTTTTCTAAAAACATTGAGAAACGATGTTGTTGAGCGCTATAATATCTACTTTCCTACTGAGTAAAATTAATCTTGCTTAGGTAAAAATTTATTCTCTTTGTCACTTAACCAGACAATTAAGCAGCACTCGATTTTACAACCCTCTGAAAAATGTTTACTAAAACGTTTTTTAACAAGTTAATAAGCGTAACGAATGCGAATGATAAATCTCAATTAAACATCAAACACCATAAAAGGAAACATTTCCTCAAATCCTGGAATTGTAGAACTAATGGGTTAATCAATTCGGTGTTACCTCGACGTTACGTTAATTACTGCGAAAGTGTCGACTCTTTAATAGTTTGGTAAATTGAAGTCGTTTGTGTACCCTTACGCGAATCTAAAATCTACAATCGTTTGACATTTCCAGGAAATTATGGGACTACCTTTGTCGGTTCGAAATCGGCGATTATTTGCCTGGAATACGACTAATTTTACGAGTTTCAGATTTCTGAATTTAATTCGTAGATTACCCAGAAAGTAATAAGAGAGCACGAGGGTAAATTCGTCCATAAATTCTAAATTGTTTTCTCTAATAGTTATTAATCTTTTGATAATTTGCTTCGAGACTTTGGATTATTTATCCTAATGTTCAACTTGCTCAAATGTGATTAGGTGTGATCAACATACTTAAGGATATTTTTACAAACATGAACTGAAAAATTCCTCTGGAAAGAAATTCGATGCAAGTCGCGTAATTTAAAACGGAAAGAAAGATCCATTCGCTATTATCATTAAAATAGGACGACTGAATATAAAGTAATGAGGGACATTAAACTCTTAAAATGAGTCCCCAGCATTGTATTTATTATATAATGTCGCCAGAAAAACCGTGAAGCTTCTGTAATAACAGTAAGCATTAAAAGTAACGACAAACTTTACCATCTCGTATGTAATAAACTATGTAAAATTAAAATTTAGCATACCAAAGATTAGCTTATAAAATATTGTCTATCTGTTTACATTTTCGTTATAGTAAACGTGCATTTTGATATTTATTAAACCTCGTTGGAATTGTTATGTCCCGTTCCATTTTTTTGAAAGTTAATTCCTATGAATAATTCTAAAAGTTTCCTAAACGTTTCCCGAAGGTACCTCCCGGAAGATTCCCAATAAGGGGTTCGAATTGCAACTTTAACAGAAATAAAAAGAATACTCGATGAAAAAAAAGGTTACTGAATTAATTGCTATTTACCCAACACTCGAGTAGAACTTTTCTAACATAAACTTCTAAGGGAAACAATTAAATTGTATCAGTATCGTCTACGGCACCTACTTAATTCACTTTCGCGCATAAATTTCTTCATAATAACACGGTTTAACAAAGAAACGGAGGAAAATAAGGAAAAAACTCCAAAGCGAAATTGGTTAATTAAGAATCGGTTTAAGCGTTTACGTAGCCCTGCTAAAAAGGTGAGTGTATACAGAATTTAATTAGAGTTGTCCTCGGAGTACATAAATTATACATTATCACCACACGAGAGTTGTTATATAACGTTAATTTCGCGCGATAAATTTTACAAACAGCTTTGAAAGATTACGGGAAGTTGAAAATTAAAATTTTTTCTATCGAAATATGACTTCTTCGTGCTGTTATGAATGATATGCTACATCTGACTCTGTAACGCTATTTTAGACAGGTTTCAAACCCAGTATCTACATATTTCTTAATTGCATTTATCTTAAAATTAAACTTGCCTCCGTTAAATCATGGTTATAAGTGTACCAATAACTTGTGATAAAATATAACTTGTGATAAAATACTTCTTGCAGTAAGTACAAGTTAAAAGGGCAGTTAAAGAATTAATATTACTAGAGAAGCAAAAATTAATTCCAAGCAATTGCGTGTTGGATACGTATGTTCATGTTGTTATAAACACAGGAATAAATGACCTGTAGAAATATTTTATTATAAAGGTTTTCATGAGAATTTAATGTTACGATTGAATTGCGCGATACCTGAAATTTCTGAAGGGTTGTTACGATAATATCGCTTTCAAACTATGGGAATAAATTCGCCGTGAGCGAGTCTGGAAATAAATAAAATAAACCATATTTATTATCTACACACAACAGGTACGATATGATGATAACTCTTATTTTGATGTGCATTTATTTCATGATACTGCCTTGTTTTTGTTACATGTTGAGGCTTAACTGGGTTTAAATAAAGGTCTAAAAATGTATAGAGCGCAGAGAAGGAACATTTATTTTTAAATTTTAAGCTCTGTATTATCCTGTTACGCTTTCGTTGGAATTTATTGCCTCAAATTATCATTAAGTAAAAACAGTTGTCGGAATACTTCGCAGAATTTAGGCTACATACTGTAATTTTTATTAACAATTAGAATAAACATTGAATAAACAACATGAATAAATAATTAACACCAATTTCAAATTTTCTTACAAAAAATTGGAGTTTCTTTATAGTTACACTTGAAATGATTTAATTGGTTACTACCTCAAAAGACTTCGATTAAAATTAATTACTTCTCTTTAGAAGTTTACTTAAACCGAAAACCGGGTGAATAATTCAGCAATGTTTTATACTTTCCTGTCGTATTCGTTACTTGACAAATTTCGCAAATTTATTCTTTTTTCGCTTTTCGTTAATTAAAACAAATTTTATAAAACTCGAGATTCTTTGACTTTAATTATTCAACTGACAAGTTTTTACCATTTTTCATTTTGCATCATTTATCATTTCTTCGTTTGTAAATCGTATATAAAATTTTTCTAATGAATTTCATCACATTATTAGTATAATAATTTCAAAATAAATATGATAATATCTACATATATTGATTTTAATTGTTTTTTTTTTCTTTCAGATAAACCAAAGGGTTGGTGAAATGGAAAAGGGGGAAGTAACATAGTTTCCGGAAAATATCTAATAACGCAATGCAGTATGTGTTACAGAATCGCATTAGTTTTAATCCCATTGATCGCCCTCTCCAATTGTTGCCCGTTTCCTTGTATATGCAGATGGAAGAATGGCAAGCAAACCGCGGAATGCGTCAACAAGGATCTTCTCGTCATTCCCGAAGGACTTGATACCGAGATTCAAGTGCTGGAATTTTCCGGAAATAATCTAAGAGCATTACATAGAGAGAAATTTCTGAAATTAGATTTAATCAATTTACAGAGAATACACTTATCCCGATGTAGAATTAGCCATGTAAATGGACAGACGTTCAAAGGGCTGACAAATTTAGTGGAATTAGATTTGTCTGAGAATTTATTAGAAGCCATTCCTTCTGAATCATTTAAAGACTGTACGTCTTTAATGAGGCTCTCGCTAAGCCGTAATCCTATAAAATCACTTGACCAAAACGCATTTAGATATTTGTCGACCCTAAGCACCTTAGAGCTCAGTAATTGCGATATTTCAACCGTGCATAGGGAAGCGTTTTTCGGATTGTACAGTTTGGAATGGTTGCATCTAGAATCCAATAAAATGAAATCGTTTCCAGCCTCTTCGCATGTGCCAGAAACTCTGAAAGGAATCCAACTTCAAGGAAACCCTTGGCATTGCGACTGCCATTTACTGGACTTCCAAGAATTTCTTTTCAAATACACTTATCCTCTCTCTAACGAACCTCTATGTAAAACTCCATCAACTTTGTCTGGCCGTAAGATAAAAAGTATTCCAAAAGTTGAGCTCGCTTGTCTTCCCGAAATCATTCCGACGACTTTCTTTTTGGAAATAGACGAAGGCAAGAATATATCCCTGGTGTGCCAAGTTCGCGCGATTCCAGAAGCTGCAGTTAACTGGTATTTTGAGGGGCAGTTACTGCAAAACGACACGTTTCTTGCACCAGAACTTCACTTATTATATTACGTCGAGCAAGGAACGGAGAATAAACGGAGTGAGTTGTTCATATACAATGCAAACTCTGAGGACAGCGGGACATTTATATGCAATGCCGAGAATTCTGCGGGCGTTTCGCATGCCAACTATACCATAAGAGTTTTATTAAAGCAGGAGCCGAAGGTAGAAGCAAATGAGATACCGTTCGAATTTATTTTGATCGTTATATCCGCGACCAGTGCTTTCGTTCTACTTTTATTAACTATTGGAATTTTGGCTTTGTTGAAATGCCGCCGAACGTCCCATATGAAAAGAAAACGATACGATTCGAAATTGACCCTGGGGAATTCGACCGGCGAATCCGTGTCTCTGGAAAGTCCCGATTCGATGAATCAAAGCAAAAATAGTACGTTTAAATTAGTTAACTACGACGAACTTAAAGTTTCAAGTGTTCAAAGCGAAACGGACAGACTATCGTTTGTGGCGCTAAGTCAGCTTCCTAAGAACTACTCGGAACGTAATCCCGACATCATTAACGGTACTGAAATTATCGAAAATAGTGACAGTGACATAATTACGACCAGGCAACATTCAGTAATTGGAAATGTGAGATTCGCTCAAATGACTGATCCGTGCGCCAGTGAATGCAGTTTGTTTTTCGTGCACAGAGACACTACATTGCATCCTGTTGTTGACTGTTATAGGACACTACCAAACAAACGAAGAAGTGCTGCTGCTACTCCTCTTGCAGGTAACCTAATTTTTTGAAACAATTTTAAACTGAAATTGACAAAAATAATATTATCAACATTTTCCAATTATCTATATTTATTTTCATTTCATTTAATATTTGACTGTATGGCCTTTATAACTTCACATTTTCGGTAAAGTTACTTTTTGGTAAAGTTACTTGGATAAGTAATTCGAAATAACAACGAAACCTTTTGTCTCTTTTACTATTTCTTCCAACTAACATTTCCAACAAGGACTTTATCGTTGAGGAAAGTTCGAAATAAAAGATATACTTCTCCGCTAAACCATATTTCCGCCTGACTGAATCAAAACCTTTCAAATATAAATCTACGTGATAAAAATATATTTTTGGAAAAGAGGCTTTTGGAAGGAAAGAAACAATATTTCCTTTATCCAGTAATTTCTAATACTACCTATCTATGTGAAGCAAATAAATAAAACAAGATTGTGCGAAATTAAATTGTTTGGTCTTTTTATTTTGGTTTATTTCATTCCTACTGATATCTATACCATCCTCATTTACAGATGCACATTTTTTACATAACCGAGCAAATTCCTATCAAATATGTCCAATTTAAACGAATCTTACATCATGAAATAAGAAATTCAATTATCTTTTTGATTAAAGATTATACCAGCACGTCAAGTTGTCGACGAACCAGAGAATTATTTTTGTAACAGTAAGTGTCCCGAAAGTCGACAACTTGATAAAGCTGGGAAACTGGATTTGTGTGACAAGCTCTTTTACGTATTACTTCATCCGCATCGCTCGAAAGCACTTCCCTCTTAATGAGGTCCTCACTCAAGCGTTTTGGACAAAGAACACCGGACTAGAATAAAACATAGCTCAGCGACGGAACGGCGAGTAAATAGAGCATAATTTTAAGGTTCATTTGCGCTAAATAACAAACCGTTAATTCTATAGTAAACCGAATGTGTATAGGTGCTGCTTTTTGTGTAGTAAAGGCGAAGGCTCAAAGTTAGTCTTATTAAATATGTTTTATATTGTTCATAAAGTATGGATGCTCGAATATGTAGGTAATACATAGGAAGAGTAGTGATGATAAAGTAAGAATTTCGTTCAAAAATTAAATGAGAATCTGCTATAAACTTGCGCAAGTAACTTAAAATTAATGGAAGATGTATTTTCTGTTAATAAACTTTGCACATTAATAAACGTTGTTAATAAAAAGGGTATGTATCATATTTGAGTAAAACAGAGAGGGGTAGAAAATCCACTGTCTTCTGCGAGTCATCACTCTTTTGTATGGCCCTTTCGAAAGCATAGTGGTAATCTCATGTTATTAATTACAGACAGATGTTCTACTATAGTTGCTGTAAATTGCTTTAGGTGTATACGTACGAACCGGGAATATTATAAATTCAACGTTAATAGCGCAAAGTTTACTATTTAAAACACTCCTAAACGCGATCTTCACGTTTACAACTTCCCGACCTTTCTTTGAAATAATACAATTTCGTTTCCTAATCTAATGATCTTTATTACTGTTCGGAAAGTTTTTATGTTTTCATTTCATCTTTCCGATGGATTTATCCATCCCACTCTCAGTTCCATGACCGCGGTCATGAGAAATTCATGAGCGCCGTACCTGACCTGGAAAGAAAACGGAATTTTGCGAGGATTTTTACAACCGTGTTGTCATATAAAAAGCGGGGTACCTATTTTGTATGCATTTTTTAGTAGGCTCTAACTGATTTCGGCGATTTCGAAGCGCAGAATATATTTATGCGAGACGTTCCCTTGGGATTTCTTTAAAACATAAGCTGTGTTCCGCTCGGCAAAACGTTTGATTGAGAACGCGACAAGCATTGGAATACGATTTCCCAGGTAAAACTGCAAGGAAATTCCAATAAGTACAGGTTTACTTCGAGGTTAACTAATAAAATATATCTAATTTCTATTTTGAATAAAAACTCGAGGTAAATGTCATATTATTTTCATAATAATCCTAATATTTAACAAATTTTACGAGATACAAAAAAATATTTGTACAACTACAATTCGCTTTGTTTTAGTTACTTACCTGCATATTGAGGTTTCACAGCAAACTTCTAAACAACATTTAATTTATTCTAAATGATCAGTCAACCGATTTGAACGTTTGCGAATTAGTTTGAAGTGAACTAATTGTCTGCACTTGCCGAGTGTGCAAGTTTAATTCATGTATATTAAACCGTACAGAAAATTTCTTATACCTTTGTATATTTAACAGGTCTGTGCAAACTAATTTTGAAATAAAGACACCGCAAATTAACCAAAAATAATCATTTGACGGCCAATATAACAGTAACTACAGGTTACTATAGGTAATCGAAAATTTGAATTATTGTTTTTCATTATATTCAAATAAGTCATAATTAATAATTTGTCTCAATTGTAAAGAGCAACGCAAAAAATATTCCGAAAGTTTCGTTTTCTTTAATATAAGCTAACGAGCTGATTACATCTTTGAATTGTTTTTATCTGAGAAAATAATTTCATAATAACGTAAAGGAATTTTCACAGATGAGAATAATTATTGAAGACAGAAGTTTTAATATTATCCTGTATATACCGTATTTTTCCGTTATGGTATGTCGTACCTACCTAACTTATAAATTTGCAATTTCTATATCAATAGTTTCTACGATTGAGGAGAAAATAACTAGCTTTGATAAATAATCTGAAATCTCCAGTTTTCAAAAGTGAAGTGTCGCAAATATTATGCTTAAAATATCATCTTATTGCAGTCTCAAATTCGCATCGTTCGTTATCATTTGAATAAAACATTCACCGGAAAATTCATTAAATTATCGGAGAAGTTCAAATTTACTTCCGAGCATTTGCAATAAAAATATCCTATCCGCTTTCCTTATCGAGTGCATCATCTTCGTATTGATTTAAATCAAATACTGATTGGACGGTTTATAGCTCAGTCTTGAGTAGTAAAGATAAATTACGTTGGGTATAGATAAGCTTAATATGATCATAAAAATTTAAGTACTCAAGTATAGTAATTATGACCGACCGTAAAAAATCTTAAATTGCTTCAGCAGTTGAACCCGCATAGAAGTGGTAACAATTTTATTCATCTCAAAATAAAATACATACTGACAAAGAAGTATCTGGAATTTCTGATTTAAATTCTTGATTAGCATGCAAAAAATTAGAGAGATTTCTAAATAATTTTGGTTGCAGCAGCTGATTGAATTATTTCATCTCAGTAGTGCTCTGCGAATTTTGCATTGGACAAAAATAATGAACAAAGAATTTGTCTCATATTTTGGGTTTTGAACGGAATTTCGTGGGTCGAATCGATGCAAATGCTTAAGGTGACTCTTTTTTATCGAAAACCATATTTACGAATGACCCATTTAATTTTGCTCAACCAGACATGCTGCGCATTGAGGCTCGGCTGATTCCGATAGAGCTGAATTTCCTTCAAAAACGATATTGTCAATTATTTGTCCATGCAGACATGCTGGTTCGTGTGAAGTACCATTGACCAGCCGCCTTACTCACCAGATTTAGCCTTATGCGACTTTTTTTTGTTTCCCAAGCTCAAATTCCCACTTCGGTGACCCCGTTTTCTCGATAAATTCCATCAAAGAAAATTGGCAGAAGGAGCTGAAAGCCGTACCAAAAAGGGTCTATAAAAATGTTTCGATGATTGGAAAAGGCCTTCGACTATGTGTATCGCTTCAAAAGGAGCATATTTTGAAGGGAATTTAAAAAAATTAAAGAAGATTAAAAATTTATTCCAATTTTATGGGTCCTTTTTAGCGTCTGTATAACAAAATTCAACACTAACTTGCTACCCATCTACATTAAGTAGTGACTGGTATTTATAATATTTTATTAAATATTTTTCATATGCATATACATATGCATAATAACAACGTTGATAAAAGTAAAATACTTTATATTCTAGTTAAATAGCAAAGCTGAAAACGTAGATAGAAAATGAATCTGCAGAAGAAAATCTTCCATAATGCTCCCTCCCGCTCAACAAAACATCGACTGTAATCAAACTAATGGCGGCTGCTGTGGTGTCGGGAAAAAAACAACAGAACAAAAGATGGGGAGCTGATGACTAAGTCATTGTTAGCGGGAGATAATTTAAGAAGTAAAAACTTCCAATTTGAGCGAGAGTCGTTTTTGTTCGATATTTTGTCGGTGCAACGTCCAATATAGTAAATGCATTTCTTTAATTTTTAGGAAAATTTTGCATCGCGTACGGGATTGGAAGTTTAATAAATTACGTTGACTTCGTTTATTGTGGTTGCCGAAGGTTTTTTGAAGGACACCTAATTGAGACATCGCAATTAACAATTCCAATTAAATTTCGAAAGGCCGTTATTACCAAATAACAGAGTGATTCTGTTTTGGATGAAAACAAAACGAATAAAAACGACTTTTTTGTTCGTTTTCGCATAAAACAAACGGTTGAGAAGATTCTATTATTCGATCACTATTTTAATTCTTTTGTCTATTTTCTGTCACGTCATGTGCACTCGGTCGATTGATCCATTGTGTTTTTATTGCAGGCGTACTCTCCAGAGAAGCGGAGTTTCTAAATCGAAATTCTGCCGCCCAGTCACCGTACGAGTATTTTGGAAGCGACGTACGTTATACAGCTGATGGATATCCAGTCAAAGCGACGGATAAATGTCAACAAGCGGTGATCATCCCATCACATCCAGATTCACATAAATCATCCAGTGAAACGTTAGCTGGAGAGCAAGGATAGGCGTAACTTTGTTAGCGCCCTCTCGCCGGCTGAACATCTATTTAACCAGTTCTGCTACCTATAGGCCAGAAATTCAAATCCCTTTCGTTGATTTTTGTTTTTATTCACCTACTGGGATTTTTTTAATTATTTCTATATTTCTGTAGATAGGAACTAGAGGTAAGGTAATATTAACCAAACTACAGGGTGTTTAAGATATAACATAATATTTTTTTAAGATGTATTAATAATTAATTTTCTACTTCCTTAAATTAATCTATTGAAACGCTATCTTCCGTTGCAAATTTACTAATATTTAATAATCTCCTTATTATTTCACTTTTCTATTTTTTGCTCGTGATGGTTTTATAAAATTTTAAAGCATCATTTTATAATTTTCACTGAGAGATTTTACAAATAGTTATGTATGATAAACATAGGTATCGTATATGACTAAAATTCATTACTGACTGAATTATTATGAGATTTTTCACATTTTTGTTAATGCATTTTCGCAGCAGATAGTGAAGAGTAAATATTTAATTACTTCAATATTACATACCTAAGATCAGTGTTTGGAGCAAATCTTCCAATAATATTATCTCCATCCAGATTATAAGCATACAATATTTTCTTAATTGATTTGAATTAACCATTTTATAAAGAAAATAGTCCTCTCAAATTTACTTAGGTACAGTTATTCTCGATGATTATTACCAGGCAGGCCGCTATGTATACTTATACTTTTGGATTAGCTCTGTTATGTTCTTAAAACGTATCTACTAAGCTGGTAATAAAGTAATGAGCTGTTTTAAGATAATAATAATCGATGTAAATATCAAAGAGTATGTAATAATAACCTTCTAACTGTAAAATGAAACTACACAAATAGGTAAAGTATAACTGTTATAAGGATAAATTCAATTAGATAATGGTTTTTCTGAAATTCAGTTTTTATTGTTCTCTCATTGCACAAATATACTTTTCTGAAAAATGAATTTATAAAAAATATTATTTATATTATGTAGTAGCCATTAACATGTGGCATTTATAATAGTACTATTGTACTTACGTGAATGTACCTACTTATTAATAAAAAATATCTATATTGAAAACATACCTAAAGTAAATTGATAAACCTGACCTAGTGCACATATTTTCAAATCGGACGTAGCTAGTTGCAATTGATTTTTAGAACATTAGAATAGATTTTTTTGAGCCCATTTCCAGAATTATGTTTTGTAAAAATTTCTCATATGTTATTGTAAATATATTTCATTGTAGAAAACTAAATAAATGATAAATAATTCCAACAAATTTTTAATCACCATTTAATATAATTGAATTATTGAATTATTTCAATGGATTGTTTTTCACATTTGAAATGCAACTTAATGTATTTCATTTTGTGTTTATAAATCGTTGCAATGTGTTGTTTACATTTGATAATGCACCTCTGCGGGAATGTTACAAAATGCGCTTCATTTAGTTTTCATTTAGATTTTCATTTTTAATCATTTTTTTAGGCTCTTATAATCATAATATCCGAATATGCCATAAATTGCGTACCTATTGAAAATATTTAGTTTTACCTAAATAACTAACATAATATTCAGTTTGGTATTTTTTGTAATTTAATATTATAATTTCATACGATTGATACTAAATTCACTGTGGAATTAGTTGTATTGGAAAAATGCGTAAGTATAAACGAATAACATACTTATAATTAAATTACCTTCTATATTAGCAGCATTGCAATAATAAAATTTAAAAAGACTTTCTTTCTACCACTCTTTTTAAATAAATGAAAAACCTTCCTTCCAGGTCACAGAGGATGAACATAAGCCCTAATTTGCTTAATTTTCAAGATAAACAGAACGTGTTGAAAGCGACAAGACAGCAGATTTTTCAGAGTTAAAATTTACGACCTTTTGTATGCGACGAGAATAAATAATCAGATAATTGGATTCAATTCGAGAAAGAGAATTAAATTTTATTGAAAGTTTAAATTAATAATCGTTTTCGCTCTTTTCGGTACACAGAAGAATATTGCCCGACCGTTGTAACGGAATGAAAAGGCTGAGGTAATGTATTTTTAATATCCTCGAGGAATTTGTGATTGTCTTTCTCAAAAGAATGGTGGAGAGTTCAAATTACACGTCGACAATTATACAATTTTTAAAAAATTAAAAACTTGGTTATAAAATCTATCTGTGTATAATGGCTCTTGAATTCAATAAAAATATGTAAATGCCTAAGAGGCTATTAATAATAGAAAATAATAGTGCATGAAGACATTGAAAAAATACCATGCCAATTAGAGCAAACTGGAAGGAATTGGAAAGACGTTTCGCAATATCGATTTCTTCGAATGGTAGGCGGTATTTCAAGTCTTTATTCATGATTGAGTTCCCGGTCAGGCGAATAATTCGCAAGATCAATTTTTGGAATACGCTTAGTAATTTGTTGCAGGGGACGACCGTTTCAAAATTATTAGTATAGGGGTTTATTAATCAATTTACAATATTTTTGTTTCTGAATATTAATTTAACATCGTCACCAAAGCGCACACATCAGAATTACTCAGTATTTCCGCTTACGTTTTATTTTCCATCGTTTTTGCTTATCGACTAAATATTTCGGCATAGCAAACTTCAGCAAACTATATTAACGAATTGCTAACAAATATTAGTCTATTCCGTTATGAGGTTGTAGTTACGTGCCTTTCACTTCAATTTAATATTCCTCCGACATTACTCAAGAAGTTATATGATGTTATTCAAGAAGCGTAAAGTTTGTTGTGGGCAAAAAATTAATTATTCCAGGGAAGTAATATCTATCGATTTATTAAAATGTAGATGAGATTTATAGCTCAATAAGATGTGTTGCGTTCGAGTAATTTATTTGTTATATTATTGCATGTACTAAGCAAGTTATTGAATCCATGCTAGTTGTTTGGAAACCTTTCTCCGCTGTTTTATTTTATAAATAATTCAAGCTTTCCTGTTTATATAATCTCTGCTTTATTGATTCAGGTATGCAACTGTTTCTGGCGGATGATTAAATTCTGGAGATATAGTTAATTAGCATAATATCTGAACGTCTATGGTTATATTAGACTTGTCAAATGCATACATACAGTTGGTGCAAAACAAATATCAATGCACGTCATCTATGATTTAGTACGTTACAACTAGTAGTGTTACCGAACTTTTATAGAGTTTAGAAAATCTAAGAATTTTCTAAAATGGTCAAATGGCAAAATAAAATAATTGTATTATTACTTTTCGCTTTCTAGAAAAAAATCTTATAGTCAAGAAAATTAGAACCTGCGAAAATAAATCATTCTTAGAATAATAACATTCAATAACAAAAAATAAATAATTAGATGAATAATATAAAAATATCTATGTATAAAACATTCAATAATATTTTTATTATTTGAAAAAAATAACCCATTTGCGAGCAGGGAATTCATAATCAAAAATTCATTAAAAAAGTACCCAATTTTTTTTCCATTCTTCTGTAATTGCGTACAACAATGCAAAACGTAAGGGCGCTCATTCAGGGAAATTTTCCAAATAAAAAAGCCTCATCGAGTAACGAGTAGCGTCGGAAAAATTTCCCGAGTCGATAAACTTCTGCGGTTCAATGAATGGCGGAACAACAAGGAGTGATTGCTCTGGGTAACTTCTTCACAATTCACAATCATTGCCCTTTTATCTCGGAAAACTACAAATCCGAATTTATTCCCTTCTCCCGATTCGATACGAAAAAAGTAATATATTATTTATTCAATATATCCGAAGCGAAGTGGGTTTAATCGATTTAAATGCCGCGCACCGTTCAACGATATGCGTAACATTTATCAATGTCTATTATCAAGTTTAAGTAATATTGTAAATACGTTCGAAGGAGATTAATAATAATTCAGAGTTTCGAATTTATCTGCATTTTCTAAAACTAAAGCCTCTGCGTAGGCTTCGGGTGCTAGAGCTACTACCTCGTAAACTGACTAGTGGATTCCATAAACAAAACCAATCACTCGATCATTGGATATAATAGGATTAATTGACCTATAAACAGACAATTGACCAAGGTTCGGGACTCTTCAATTTTAGCCCTCTACATTTCAAACGGCTCTATATTTGCAGTGTAATTTTATTGGATTTACTAAACCAGAAACAAATAAAAACATTTTGTGTACATTTTCGAACGCCAACTTGCAATTTTGTTAAAAAAAATCACAGCACTTTTGATATTGATCATTTAGACTCAACCTTCAGTAATTGGAATTGAAATAAAAATCGATACAAGATGTATCTCGAAAGGCAGAAGTAGCGATGTTGAAAAATAAATGTTTCCAGTTGTCTGCGCACTTACTGTTTTACGTCTGAGTAGATAAAATAAACCAACCGCGTTGAAACAAAAACAAGACTGATTCGTTCATCAAATTCGTGTTAAAGCTCAAAAGTTTTACGATTGTGGAAGACTCCAATAAAAATATCTACAATTGTGTGCTTTTTAAGTATTTTCTCTTTTTGTTAATGTATTCGAACTCGTTTGTGCCTCGTTAACTAGTCTATATGGTTGTAGAGAGAAAATTTGTTTAACGAAATAATTGGTAATAGGTGACAATCAATTTTCCCTAAAAAATTTGAGAATGAAACAAATTTTCCGCTACATCAGATACATCGAAAATCAAATACATGCCTAAGCGAGGAAGTGTCAAAATAAGAAATATTTTTTATCTGAGGTTCTAACGCTTTCAAACTGTCTGAAAGTTCCCTTCCACTCATCCTTGAAAAATATTTCCTATTTATAAATCACGTCTCGTTTTTGGAGTTCTAACGGAGATAAGGGAAATAGGTCAGAAAGGGAAATGTACAGGATGGCCAATAAGGAAAATTTATTTACGTATTGAATAAATATGGATTCTGTATTCAGCGATGTTATTCGGTTAAAAAAAGCTAGGAATAATATCACTATAAACACACTTTAGGAATAACCTCGATGCTCAATTTTGCGTTCTATATCGTATTTGTGATATATCATCATGAAAGTATAACTATTCTTACTACTATAGAAGATACTACACGAGTTATCGTTGTATTGATTAAATTGAATCCAAATCAAGCTAGTTGAAAATTATATTAAAATTGTTTACGTTTGATTCTCTACTAAATTTGCAATCACAGCTGCTTTTATTATGAGACATTTTAATACCTTTAAAATATAACTTAAAAACCGACTATAAAAAATTTATAAATTTAACGGACACGTCCATAAATCCACCTCAATTATTAGCGTAATTCTCATATAAATTCAATTTTAAATCCCTTCATCCACTATGATAG